AAATGGAAATGAGAAGGGAAGGAGGGAGGGAGGAACTAAGGGAGGAAATAGGAATGAGAAGGGAAGGGAAAGAGGAAGGAAACGGGAATGGGAGGAAGGGAGGAAATGGAAATGAGAAGGGAAGGAGGGAGGGAGGAAATGGGAAAGAGGGAGGGAGGAAAGAAATGAGAAGGGAAAGAGGGAGGGAGGGAGGAAATGGGAATGAGAGGGAGGAGGGAAGGAGATGGGGATGGGAAGAAAGGAGTAAGGAAGGAGATGGAAGAAGGAAGGAGACCAAAGAGATGGAGAATGAGAGGAAGGAGATGTGCAGGAGGAGGAGGAGTGGCAGAACCTGAGGGCGGAGTCAAGAGAGGAATCAGCCTAGAATCCCAACGTAGCTGCAAGCAAACTAAGCCCAACCCCCCCTTGAATACCCCCCACCTTTCTCCAAGGCCACAGACTTCGAGCAATGCAGCATTGGAATTGAACCTCCAAGGGGGGGGGTCTGGCCTTTCACCCCCCCCCCATCCTTTGCCCCACTTCCTGGCCCTTCTCCCCCAGGGTGCCTCGGCCGCCAAGCAAGAGCTAGAGCCGGATCCCCTAACACGAATCCGCCAAAGATCCAGCAACGGAACCACTCAAAAATCCAGAGGGACCCCCAGGGACCACCCGAAAAGCCCCCCGGGGCCTCCAGAGACTTTGTTCCGGGGAGGGCCATCGCAGGAGGGGCCGCCTGTGTCTGGAGAGGTTCTCCATCCGGGGACAAGCAAGGCCTTGGGACAGTGATAGCCAAACCTTTTCGGCACCAATTGGAGCGCCTGTGAATGTACGTGTGTGTGTGTGTCTGTGTGTGTCTGTGTGTGTGGCTGGAGTGCTGGAAACCTGAAGACCAATGGCCACATGCGTCCACATGGCTCTTTGTTGCCTCTGTTTTTTGGCCATTTTCAGGCTGTTTACTGGCCCAAAAAACGACCGGAAAAATGGTTAAAAAACAGGCCATTTTTAGGCTGTTTTCAGGAGCTCCGGTGCCAAAAAACGACGCCAAAAATGCCCTGGTTTTTGGCCATTTTCCAGGACATTTTCAGGCCGTTTTCCAGTGCTCTGGCGCCTGTGAAGACCAGCTGGCCAGAAACCAGAAGAGCAGATGGCAACGGCGCCTGTGCCCATCGAGAGGGCTCTGTGTGCCACCTCTGGGCTTGGTATCCCGGCCCTAGAATCAGCGGTTTTGTTACCACTGCTTCGCCCCCGTGAGCGCCCATTCCACGCATGCATCCAGCCTCAAAAATGGGCTTAAAGGGGACGGCACAGGGCTGGGTCGAGTGGGCGGCTGTTACCGGTTCGGCCCAACTGCCTGAATGCCACCTCTGCCCACAGTTGGTCCCCGAGCAAAGCCACACTCAGCGAGATTTGGGTTTCAGCCCAAGTCTGTATTTTGATGCTGTGGCCCAACTCGTAGCAAACCTCTTTGGTCCCTCGGTTTACTGGAAGAGGGGCGGGGGAGACAATAAAGGCTGCATTTCAGGAGACCCCTCCCTCCCAAATTTCCAGGGGGCCTCGAGATCGAGGCCAGTCCAAAGCCATGGGTGCAAATTCCTTCATTCCCGCATCACCCCGGGGACCAGAATCCTCCTATCCGAGCCTTGGTCTTAGCTGTCTCATGCCAGCTGATTGCATTTTCCCCCCTTTTTATATTCAGTGTCGCCTGCACCATCAGAATGGACCGGGCAGGTCTTATGCCAGTCGCCTTTTTTAATCTTTTTGTAATATTTTTCTTTCACATCCGCTTGTGAAGTGCCTGGAAACGGAGTCGTGAGAACTGGACCACTTTATTTTGGGGTTTGAAACCTTTTGCTGCTTATGGATGACAGTTATCTGGTTGGGCCTTGAAAGTGCTAGAAAACCACCTGGCTCAGAGAACCCCAAAGACCCCACAGTAGTCCTCCCCCCTCATAAAACTGGGAGGGTCACGTGGGGTGCCCTGACTTATGACGGTCATGACTTACAATGGAAATTCCAAACTCCATTACAGCTGTAATTCGCGGGTGTTATAGGGTGTTACCTCTTTGCAGA